ACGATCCGCGTTGGTTCTATAATTGACATCGCGGGCAGTCCTCGGGAAACCTTTAAGTCTTTTGGCTCCGGGGGAAGTATGGTTGCAAAGCTGAAACTTAAAGGAATTGACGGAAGGGCACCACCAGGAGTGGAGCCTGCGGTTTAATTCGACTCAACACGGGAAAACTCACCCGGCCCGGACACTGTGAGGATTGACAGATTGATAGCTCTTTCTTGATTCGGTGGGTGGTGGTGCATGGCCGTTCTTAGTTGGTGGAGCGATTTGTCTGGTTAATTCCGATGACGAACGAGACTTTATCCTGCTAAATAGTAGACTGGTCCTCTGTGCTCGTTTAGGGCGCGGCTTCTATTGCTTCTTTATGGAGTGTGGACATGCCGAATCACTGAGTGAAGAAGATTGACTGCTTCAAAACAACCATCTCGGTGTAGGAAGGCAAACTGAAGCCGTTCCTGAGGGAACAGTGGCATCCACCTCCTAGCTAGGATTTTGTGTAGACACCTAGTGATCGTTGGAGCGACACTCACCGGGCGGTAGTCCTCGGGGCATGTGGGATTCGATGACTTGGGGATGAAGGTCACTCGTGAAGTTGACAAATTCGTGGGGAGATACGTTAGGGCAAGCAGTGTGTTGAGATAGCCGGCTAGACCACTTTTACCAAATTTCAATAAGTCATACGATGTCAATCGATCGATCCCTGCGGCAGTACCATGCATTTCCTTAAGCGCCCACGCTACGTCGGAGGGAAGGATTGAGTGAATGATGGATGGGGTGGTGGCGACCACTAGTACAATTGCACGATCATCAAAAGTGCCGCAGGGATCGATCGATTGACATCGTATGACTTATTGAAATTTGGTAAAAGTGGTCTAGCCGGCTATCTCAACACACTGCTTGCCCTAACGTATCTCCCCACGAATTTGTCAACTTCACGAGTGACCTTCATCCCCAAGTCATCGAATCCCACATGCCCCGAGGACTACCGCCCGGTGAATGTCGCTCCAACGATCACTAGGTGTCTACACAAAATCCTAGCTAGGAGGTGGATGCCACTGTTCCCTCAGGAACGGCTTCAGTTTGCCTTCCTACACCGAGATGGTTGTTTTGAAGCAGTCAATCTTCTTCACTCAGTGATTCGGCATGTCCACACTCACCACACAGGAGGATCTCTCACCCTACTTGATATTTCGCGAGCATTCGACAGTCTCGCATGAATCCATCATTAGAGCAGCGAAGCGATACGGAGCGCCCGAACTACTATGTAATTATCTAAACAATTACTACGGGGGCGCCACCAGCTGCCACCCAACGTGGGGAGTGAAACAGGGTGATCGTCTTTCTCCATTGCTTTACATCATGGTCCTCGACGAAGTCCTCGAAGGTCTAGATCGAATGACCCACCTGCACATTGACGGAGAGGATTTAAACTACATCGCCTATGCGGATGATCTTGTGGTATTTGCTCCGAACGCAAACCTTTTACAACAGAAACTGAATCGTATTTCATTACTTCTGCACGAAGCGGGATGGTCAATAAATCCTGAGAAGAGCCGAACTATAGACCTGATTTCTGGGGGCCACTGCAAACTTACCGCTCTTTCCCAAACGGAATTCACGGTAGCCGAAACGCGTATCCCACCACTATCCGTCTCAGACACTGTCCAATACCTAGGGATACAATTCAACTTCAAAGGTCGTTGCCCAGTTACTTACATCGACTCACTCAACAACTATCTAGAAGAAATTTCACGCGCTCCCCTTAAGCCTCAACAGCGCATAAAAATACTGAGAGATAATCTATTGCCTAGACTACTTTATCCCCTGACTCTAGGCGTGGTTCATAAGAACACTCTGAAATCTATGGACCGAACAATACACGCGGCCATCAGAAAGTGGTTAAGATTACCTGCAGACACCCCTCTGGCATATCTTCACTTCCCCATTGCTGCAGGTGGTCTCGGAATCCAACACTTGACTTCATTAATTCCGTTCCACCGACGTAAGCGACTGGAAGCTTTATTATCAGCACCAAATCGACTACTCCATAAATTGCTCACGTTACCGGCCCTAGCCTCCTACTCCCATCTTGGCCAGATGTAGGTCCGTATTGGTCAAGAAAGAGTAACATCGAAAGAAGAGGCATCCCCAGTGCTGGGTACGACAACTACACTCGTCCAACGATGGTAAGGGTGTTCTTTTAGCACAACACAGCAAGTAATCGCATACATGGCTACGCTGCCCCCAATCCGTATTTCCCAGTGTATACATTAATGCGGTCAAATTGCGTGGTGGATTACTACCCACCAAAATAAGACCTCGAGGTGGTAGGATAGTGGGTGACCTGCACTGTCGGGGAGGTTGCAATCACCATGAAACTATCCAACACATATTGCAACATTGCTCGCGCACCCATGACATCAGGTGTAGGCGACATAACGAACTATGCAAGTTAGTTGCAAAGAAGCTCTGTAGACTAAAGACCACATTTCTACAAGAGCCGTGTATCCCCCTGAAGACGACCTATTGTAAGCCGGAGTTCATCGTCATACGTGACACGATTGCCTACATTATGGGCGTAACTATATCGGATGACGGTAACACTCAAGCAAGCCGTTTGTTAAAAATTTCGGAATACGGCAATGAAGGAATCGTTGCTTCGATTATGCGCTTCCTATCATCCAGCGGATATAATGTCTCTAGCGTCCGACAAACTCCAATCGTCCTAACATTTGGAGGAATCCTTGAAAAATCAGGCTCCCAATCCCTTCGAAGTTTATGCTTCTCATTCCGGGATCTTGGAAATCTATATCTGAACGCAATTCAAAGATCAATTAAAATCTATAACACATACATGAGAGGAACTCAACGATCCTGCACATAGTTTCATTCTTTCTCAAACACTGCCGCTCCTTCTTGTCCACCTTCATTATCTCTTACTAATTGAGTGATGCCGTCCGTGTTTCATCTGCGCCTGCCTATCTTTCCATTTTGTACGTTCTTCCCACCTATACAGTATAGTAATCGAATGATCCTTCTGATTCTTGGTAGTTTTCAATGATGACTGTTTCATTTAATTTGGTTTGTCTTCATGAATTGATTAACTATCTATGTTAGCACACGGCAGTTTTTGATTCGCCGGTCTCCTGTTCTCCAGCAGACTTCTGAAAATCTTCAGCTCTCTTGTTCCGGCATTTATTAACACTGTAATTTTATTATTGTTATTATTTATATTCTCCTCGGTTAACTTCAATATTATCCTCCTAAAGTTCTCTGAAAATGGAACTTTACAACCTTCTGCTGCTACAAATTTATGTCTCGATTTCAATGATAAAACTCTCTTGTACATCTTAAGTATTTCATTTTGTTCCAAACCCATTTGGCTGTGTACAATTTGATGCTTAGAAATATATGTTATTAGCCAAATGCCTCGTCATCTAATTAGTGACGCGCATGGATGGGATTAACGAGATTCCCACTGTCCCTATCTACTATCTAGCGAAACCACAGCCAAGGGAACGGGCTTGGCAGAATTAGCGGGGAAAGAGGACCCTGTTGAGCTTGACTCTAGTCCGACCTTGTGAGGAGACATGATGGATGTAGTATAGGTGGGAGCTGGGTGCTTCGGTGTCCAGCGTAAATGAAATACCACTGCTATCATTGTTTCTTTACTTGTTCAGTGAAACGGGAACGAAATTGTATTTTGGTTCAAAGCACATTCCGGGGTGTGTGGTCTATCGCTGCGTACTTCGGTATCTTGGTCATGTCAGATGAGTCGTGGTGCAAATTGCGGTGTTTGAGTCTTGATGTGATGTGCGACCCGTTCTGAAGACCATGTCAGGCGGGGCGTTTGACTGGGGCGGTACATCCGTCAAATGGTAACGCGGGTGTCCTATGGTGAGCTCAGTCAGGACAGAAACCTGGCGTAGAGTAAAAGGGCAAAAGCTTATTTGATTTTGATTTTCAGTACGGATACAGACCGTGAAAGCGTGGCCTATCGATCCTTTTGATGTTATTTTCGGAGTTTGAAGCAAGAGGTGTCAAAAAAGTTACCACAGGAATGGGAGGCAAAATCCGACTCACACGTCCGCGTCGTGCCTCCTGGATAATGAGACGAATGTCTCATGAACTAACGTGAGCGGTAATCCGGGTGGTAGAGATCGGGCTAATCACCCACTCTTACCGTTACCAGGTGTAGTGCGCAACTGTTATATTCTGTCATAACTTTCGAATGGCTGGATGGATTTCGAAGATTTTTAGTTTATTTTGTGTAAAATTGCGTGATCTATTGAATAAAAAATATAATCAGAAGATTTTATATATCAGAAAAGATTTTTCTCATTTTTCTAGAGAAAGTCCGAGAGAAATTCAGTTTTTTGACGAAAACATTTTTCTCAACAAATGTATAGTAATGTGTTATAATTTTGCAGATAGATATTTGCAAGAGAAATCGAATAAAAAAGAATGAACGAAATCGGTCAAGCCGTTCAAAAGTTATGATCAAAAGTGTGTTTACGAAATTCGCTGTCTCGGACATTTCTATAGGATTTTGCCGCTCGGACTTTCTATAGGAATTTTTGGGTCACATTTTCCTGACGATCCGCGTTGGTTCTATAATTGACATCGCGGGCAGTCCTCGGGAAACCTTTAAGTCTTTTGGCTCCGGGGGAAGTATGGTTGCAAAGCTGAAACTTAAAGGAATTGACGGAAGGGCACCACCAGGAGTGGAGCCTGCGGTTTAATTCGACTCAACACGGGAAAACTCACCCGGCCCGGACACTGTGAGGATTGACAGATTGATAGCTCTTTCTTGATTCGGTGGGTGGTGGTGCATGGCCGTTCTTAGTTGGTGGAGCGATTTGTCTGGTTAATTCCGATGACGAACGAGACTTTATCCTGCTAAATAGTAGACTGGTCCTCTGTGCTCGTTTAGGGCGCGGCTTCACCTCTCCGCTTTTTCCAACCAGTCCCAGAGTCGGCAAATAATGCACGACGTGGAATTCTCTGGGACGACATTCGTAGAACATTTCCAAGCCACCGAAGACGGTGTTTCAAGATGGTGACAACAATTGGATTATCGTCTCTGTGCCCGAACACTCGATGTCGAACCTCTGCATTAATAACATGGTGTTGCCACTGGATGTCAGCAATCCTTCGGAAACAACGACGATCAGACACAGAGAGTCGTCTGACATCTTCAACTCGGAGGGGCCAGGTTTCACAAGCATGGAGCAAAACTGCTCTCACCGACGCGTTGTAGATCCGACCTTTTACAGCCAGACTAACATCACGAAGGCGCCAAAGATGGCCCAGATTGGCATAAGCCGCTCTGGCTTTCACTATACGTGCATTGATCTCATCACTCACACCACAACCAGCACTTATGCGGCTACCTAGATACACGAACTTCTCGACTACTTCTATCTGCTCACCATCCAGAGTGAGTACAGGATTAGAATCCTGCCAGTCTTATAGAAGTACTTTGCACTTCGAAGGTGCAAAGCACATACCATACCTACGGACACTGATTGTCAACTGATTAAGTGCGGATTGCATGGCTGGCATATCATTCACAGCAAGACAATATCACCCGCATACTCAAGATCGAGAGGTCTATCTCCAGGCAGCAGATCCACGCCGCCATTACTTACATCCACCAGAGCTGTTTTCAGAATGTCATCGATGGCAAAGTTGAAGAGGAATGGTGAGATTGAGCAACCCTGCCTAACTCCACTGTTTGAGTGGAACAGTGAAGAGAAGTGGTTTTATGCCCTCACTCTACCTGAGGTGTTTGTATATAGGGCTTTTAGGATGTTAATAAGCTTCTCAGACACACCCTTCTTTAAAAGACAACCCCAGAGAACAGTCCTTTCAATGAGTCAAAGGCGGCCCTACTGTCAAGAAACACTACGATTGTTGGACTTTGATAAGTATGGCGGCGTTCTAACATTTGGCGGAGGGTGAAGACATGATCAATACATCCTCGACCGGAACGAAACCCAGCCTGCTCCTCGCGAGTCAATCTTTCTCGGGTTTTGAACAACGGAAGCCATAGCTTGGACGCGATCGGAAGTAGACTTATCCCCCGATAGTTGTTACAGGAACGACGTGAACCCTTTTAAAGATAGGGACAACTATCGACTCATTCCATGACGTTGGTACACTCTCTAGTTCCCAGACCTTTGCAAACAACGTTGTCAGTCCCTTAGTCAGAAAGTCACCACCATCTTTAAAAAGAGCCGGAGGTAAGTCGTCTGGGCCCGGTGATTTGTAACGTTTCAAGAGTTGGAGTTCCTTGCGGACTTCCTCCTCATTTGGTGGACCAGTCGTCACCGGCCATCATAAACAGTTATCAAAAAATTGAATGTCAAAATTTCCATTATGTCTGTCAATATAACAACAACGTAGTAAAAGATCCAAATATAAACTGTAAATCCAACATGACCATTTAAACAACACTTTTATAGTTGGTTTCTGGTAAATTCGCTATATCATCTGCTCTTGAAACTCACACTAACATAATAAGTAATAGCTGAAGAGAAAGCTTAAATTTCTATCTCTAAAGATTCAACGTATATTACGATATTTTAATGTATAAGAGCGACGATCACACAAAACCTTAGTTATAAAAAATGGGAGGATAATAGGTGAAAATAATCAATTATCTACAAGTTATGATAATAAACTTTCCCGTTAATTGCAAAAGAAAAAGAAAAAAAACATGGAGCTTAACAACTAACCAAAATGTGATTCTAATTCTTTTATTAAGTACATTTCTTCACTTATTATAAAATTGACTGCTATTCCTTCTTTTCCAAAACGACCGGATCTACCGATACGATGTAAATAGGTTTCCCAATCAGCACTACCAGTTCTCGTTGTTGGCATATTCCAATTTATTATTAAATTCACTTGTGGAATATCTAAGCCTTCAGGATGAAAAATTATTCACATTAAAATTTATTTTAAATCCAAACGAATCAAGAGTGGAAAAATATAGAATATAAATAACAAATTGTTGACAAAATACATCTTTTAAATTTGGCAAATCTTATATTTCAATGGTTGAGATCATGAGTCAATTGACGCTAGACCACCATGGAAAACCTGGAAGCACTGGACGGCCGTTTCGCACTGGTGTGGGACTCCTCAGCAGTAAGCATCCACGACCCCGCCTCGCGGGATTCCAACTCAGGACCTATCAGTCTCGCACGCAAGCGCTTAGCCACTGGACCACTGAGCCGGTACCCAACAATGTTAATGTCTAACTTCAACTAATCCACGAAATTGAGCGACACATCCACTATTGCGATTAGTGAGTTACTATCTTACAACTGACCCGGTTCAACTCCACTGGTCATTGTTTCTCACTAGAACTCCAGGATACACGTCTTGAAGCCAGTCACTAGTGAGCATACGTTAATTGATATATATATATATATATATATATATATATATATATATATAACTATTAAGTGACTAGATTATATGTATTTATATTCCTGTTATTATAAAATTTCATTTGACCTATTGACTATTATCATTATATAATTTACTATTCTCAAGTTATTCTTAATGTATTAGTTACAGTCTCTCACACTCACAGCCACTTGTGGCATGATCTTGTATAATTGTTATTTTCTATTTTATGGTGTGATGCAGTCTCATTTCTATGTATATAAACTGTGTACGTCTGAAATACGTGATTCAAGCAGTGGAAGCTGGTATTGTGTTCTGGACTCAACGGGCAGTACTAGGCGAGAACCAATAAGAACTTAGAGTTGAATCTAGACTGCTCATGCTGATTAACGTGGCATAGATTTAGCACAGGGCTAAGGTCGTATAAGCCGGTATTCTGATTGTCGATCTTGTCACGTGATATATTGACAGGCCATTGTTGAGGATGCCAGATCCTCAGAAATCACTTGATAAACGTCTTATTTTTCTAAGTTTACTTTGGAAGTTTGAATTCCTCGTTTTCGCGATAAAACCACCCATTTTTACTCTCAGATCGTATTTCCCATTAGAAAGGACCATAGACGTTATTGGTTGGTTACCTCTTTTAACATGCTACTTTGTGAAGCTTCCCAAGGAAATTTTTATGCTGTATATATATGCGCTTGAGTTGTGTGCTTGTGGTTGTTCGTGCTTCTAGGTGCTGTAGAATATACCTTTCCTTCATCTGAACTGGATCTCCTCCCTCTAGTTAGCAGGGTTGGGGCGCATTGGAATAGTTTAGTTTGTCTTGTCGTTACGTCGCTGTTCCTTCGTTCCCTTTGCCGATTTCAGGTGATCTTGTAATCGCTTCAGATATAGTAACCATAAGAATATAACAGAAATTAACACTAAGATAAGAAACAAACCTCGAGAACACACATTAGTTGTAATTAAAACTCGGAAATTTGATGAACGAAAATCTTCAATGACTTTTTCGCGTTGAGAAACATCTAAATCACCGGAAAGTATGTAGACTTTATGACCATCCAAATTCATTTTGCCGTCCAACCAACTAGCTTCCTGTCGTGTCTAAACAAAGGATTCAAAAAATCGGAAGATATGAAAGACAAAAAGATCAATTTGTGAAGACTGTGTGTTTGTAGTTTTGTCCTCGAACACTGTGTACAGATATTTATGTACGTTCCGAAAAATAAGCACAATGTAGGCAATTCGGAAGATTGATTAATTTAACAACTAAGAGTGCATAATGTAGATATGTTCGTAGAAAAGTAGAGGTGAGTGATCTGTAATAAATACGCATATATAAACACAACTAGTTGAGTACTTACGGAACAAAGGTGTTAAGAACAAGTAAACAGATCTTTCAATTTTTTAACGCTGGTACTTTCAACCATTAGAAGTTGTACACAAGCTCACCGAAACAACTTTTTGAAATCAGATAATGAACGTTTGATACGCCTTTTTCCAAAAGGCTATCCACGGTAAGATATTTTCCAAACAAATTAATTGAGTTACGCTTATATTTTACACCGAGTTAAATACCTAATCGTCAGGTAGCCGGAAGTCATTTACTCTATCAAAAGCACAATCAAAGATCAAGTATATACTTGGAATAAGAGAATAAGGATAAAACTACAGGACTTACCATGAATAAGGAAAACCAAATTGCTAAGTCACGTGTTAGTGTCCAAACAACAAAAATAAACTAAGCATCTCAAATCAAGAGTTAAAAAACCATCTAAGATGAAAAATGTCCTGAAGAGTTGAGCGCACAAAGAAAACTCAACGCGGACAAGGAGGAAAACCATTACTTTTGATTCTCGTAGATTGAACGTTTGAAACGTCGACCTTCTGAACAGTGACTTGGTCTCCATAAAAATATGCATTTTGAACCCTCTAAAATGTTTACCTCCACGTCTAGTACAGTTACAGAAACCAAGGGAAAATTTTATATGGCTATCAGTGACATTGAAACTTCAGAGGCCGCTGAGAGATACTAATATTTATCACAAACCAGACATTTAACTAGTCAGGTTGAGAAATAAAATAACTGGATGAAAGATGCGTTAGCGATCAAAATTCTTTTTTCGACAATATCATTTTATGGAGCTTTACAGTCGCATTTATAGACAATTGTCTACATTTAATAGTTTATAAGAAAACAAGAGAGTATTACATCATGATCAATGATGGTCGAATGAATTCGAGTATTGAATGTAAATGTCTATAAAAATGATGTGATGTTGTATTTCATAAAGTGATCAAAAATTATCAAAAGATTTCAAGTATTGAATATAAAAGTCTAGAAATAGAAGTGTGTTATTTCAAAGTGACCAAAGCTATCAAAAATTTAATATTGAATACTATAGGTATCGCATCATCTTGTAAAACGATCAAACTTTATCAAGGGATTGAAAGTTTCAGGAGTAACAAGAAATGATAATGTTTACAACGGATGCAAAGTACGATTATCAACTTGAAAAGGAGAAAGAAAGAGATGAGTAAGAAATTAATTACCACTTACGACTGGTGAAATCCAAAGGGGTACTAAGACCATAAAATAATAAGGGATTGGACAGGATTCTTTTATATGCCGAGGTCAAGTCTGAACTGGTGAATTACTGTGGCTCTAGCTGTGCACGAATTCCTAGTCCAAACCTTATTCGAGTCAGTTCTTTCAACATGGTAGATAATCTTGTGTGTTAACTCTCGTAGTGGCACGTGACCAGAGTTGACCATGTATTCAAGGATTAAGCTATCGATTAGTTTACATTCTCCTTAAAATAGCTATACAGGGTCATTTTCGGACATTCCTTTACCAAGTGTACGCATTGTAAAACCAATATAGCCTGCTCTACAATGGCAAGTAAACTGATAAGTAGGCATTAAGAGGCTTCAAAACATCAGCTTTCTTGATACTTACCCAAATGACACCCTTGCTTAAGAAATTCGGAGCTCCGCTGGATGAAATACCTTCATCAGAGACCTAAATGGTCTGTTTTTTATTATCTCCTCAGACGTATCGCCCTCGAATTAAATGTTCAGTGAAAATTATAAACACAGGTTGCTTCTTGATCTGTTGCATCATGCACAAATGCATTTTACACATGTGTAGATCAAATTGAATTGATCGCAACAATGTTATTCTTCGAAGCGCTACAGTAGGCGTAGATTGATTTTGGTGGGTAATTAAAGTATTGAACAAACAAAATAAAACCTCGAAATACAAGTACAAACGGAGATGTTCGTTGTGAGTACGAAATAACGCACAACGTAGAAATAATGAAATGTAGTTGAACTACTTGGTATTAGTAAGTAGCCAGAAATCAACAGATGAAATAAGTAAGGTGGGGAAGATGATATAAAAGCCACTCATTAGGTAAACTATCTCTACATGACATTGAGTAATGAGTAAAATAAGTTAGTGGAATACTCTCAATCATAAATTTACGACTTGAAAAAACTTTCAGCTCTCTGAATTAAGCTGTGCAGTTGTTATGTTTCCCCAAAAATCATATAAATATGACACAAATACGAAAAAACTGACATTATTGCTTGATTTTCTGAACGGTTCGACTTTTTCTTTCCAGCTGATTTGACCGTTCCCTAACCCTTCTAAGCGACAGTATTATTAATCTGTTCAGAACACAGCAGGTTTTTATAATTTACAATATACATCCGGGTGAGGATCTTTTTCGTAGATTAATTTGCTAACTAAGAAGGAACCACGATGAATACAATTATATTCGTCAGTTGGATAACAACGTTGATACGTTAGTTATGTTTAATGAGCTAAAAATTTAACAAAATATAAAACTTACTGCACAAAATATAATTGCTTGGCCAACTTCAAAACCCCCATAAATATCTTTTAGCGCCTGATACTTTTCAATCCAATCACTAAAGCACATATAAAACTGTTTAATATTCTTCAAAGGAAGTTGTGTACGTTTTACGCGAAACTCTATCGGATTGGGAACAAACTCATGTGCAAAATCAATAATCGAATCTTCATACGTAGCTGAGAACAATAGGATTTGACAACTTCTGGACAACTTCCTACGGAGTTGATACAGGTAAGAAATAACATGAGATAACGTATACTCTAATAATAACGAAATAATCATATTAAATATTTTATTAGCTTAAGTGCAGTTTAGTAATGATTGAATACAAGTCTGACACTACCTATTTACTTTTTGAGTCGTTCTGACTAGAATGGAAACTGGGAAGAATTGGGATTTCCGCAAGTATTAAAACATGATTACTTAGACAAAAATGAACTTTAGTGAGTATTCATTAAACAACTCCAAATAGACAAGAACGACGCTAGTTACTTACATTTTTGTGGCCCGAGATCTGATTCCAATTAGGTACTATGATCGATTGTTATTGAAATATACATATCGTCTATCCTCGTATAAAATTATCGACTTAATACGCGTTAGTGTATAACGGAATTAAATAAGTGAAATATGAGAACGGAGTTTTGAATATGTATATTTTGTACACTCATCTGGACAGACAATTAGATGAACGAAGAGAAGAGAGCGAAGCAAAAGGACGCGCGGTGGAAATGGCGGGTGTTATGTTTTCGCTCTTACGGTAATAACCCAGCTATTCCTATTGCTTAGTATTCACGGACACAGATTCACTCGACAAGGCCCCAAATCAGAACACGATTGAGCAGGAAGGACATTATATTCCAAATAACAAGGTTTAGGTGGAAGCAAGAAGCAAAATAGGAAAACCGTTAGTATATTTATAGCTTTTTACATAAGAAGAATCTAGAAGCTTCTCCATGTATAGACTAGCGCTGATTGGATAAGAATCAGCCAATCAGCGTGCGCCAAAGCAATCGTGCATTGAGCATGCTTAAATCCAATCTATGTCCCCCTAACACCTCCCCTTTGAGCAGATTCGTAGGATTTGGTGCTAGGGTCCAACTGCAACCGAGTGACTGGCCTGTGCTTTCGATTTGTCCATCGTCTAGGCAATAAAGAAGTATCACTCTTTGCTTGCACAGAAACTGATCTGTCTGTTCCAGGCGTTTTGATTTCAAAGGTGTCTAGCAGAACATCAAGAGGTAATCGATATTGAATCTCATTGCTGGCTATCGAAGTTGCTTTCAATTGGTTAGCATGACGTACCCAAACTTCTGAGCCAACTGACACCTCATAAACCACACTCCCCTTCTTTTTCAAGATCCGACCAGCTGTCCATGTAGGATGTTTCTCACGATAGTCCATAGCAAGTACTTTTTGTCCCACCGTGAACAATCGTTTTTGTGCCCCATGATGTCGATTGAACTGATTCTCCATAGATAGGTTTCGTTGAGGCTCAAGAGCTGGCGTAGGACGGATGACATCGAAATGTGTTCGTATTTTTCTGCCAAGTAGAGCTTCTGCTGGAGAGACCCCCTTAATCGTCTGAGGGTTCGGTGTCGAGCGATAAATAAGCAGGAACCTCTCTAAGATCTCTTCGGTGGTCCCCTCCCCTTTAGATTTTTTTAGAGCATTTTTAAATGTACTCACAAAGCGTTCCACTTGACCATTTGATTGTGGATGGAATGGAGGTGTTCGGACGTGATGGGTTCCATTCTGCTGACAAAATTGTGAGAAAATTACGGACGTAAACTGTGTTCCGTTGTCACTAACTATCAATTCCGGGACTCCGAAACGACTGAATAGTTGACGTAGCTTACTGACTGTGCAGCTTGCAGTCGGGTGTTCCATGAGAAAGATTTCTGGCCACTTGCTATATGCATCAACTACCAAAAGGTAAGTTTGTCCATGAAGTGGACCAGCAAAGTCCAAGTGTATACGCTGCCACGGTGACTGTGGTATTGGCCATGATTGCAGCTCTGCTTTTCGCGGTGCTTTCGTTGCTAATGCACATTTGGTACACGAACGGGATAGCTGCTCCAGTTGGGTGTCTAAATGCGGCCAGTATACATAACTTCGTGCTAATGCTTTCATGCGATTTATTCCAGGATGTCCTGCGTGCAACTGTTCAAGCACTGCTGGTTGTAGCTTCTTTGGGATTATGACACGTTCTGCAAACAGCAGGCAGTCGTCGATGATTGAGAGAGAGAGTCTACGCTGGTAAAACTGTTGAAGCTCTGTGGAACTGATCTTCGCGGTCCATCCTTCCAGGTGGAACTTTCTAACTTCTTGTAGAATCGGGTCTCGAAGAGTTTCTTCTCTGACTTCATCTGACGACACTGGAGTGTTTCGAATGGCATCTGCCACTATACTTCGTATTTCTGGGTCTACTGCTATGGAGGCAATGATTATATCCTCTGGTCCAGGATGCTGAACTCCAATTAATCGAGAGAGAGCGTCGGCTTGACCGATAGTATTTGTCGACTGATACTTGATATTGAAATCATAACTCAGGAGCATTGTTGCCCAGCGCTGTAGTCTATTAGCCGTATAGACAGGGATTCCTTTCTTAGAACCAAAGATTGCAATCAAAGGTTTGTGATTTGTCAGTAGAGTAAATGTACGACCATAGAGCATTTTATGAAATCTTTTGACAGCGAAAATGATCGCAAGAGCTTCCTTTTCAATTTGACTGTAGTTCCGCTCGGCTGGGGTAAGTGATCTAGCAGCATGGGCAATTGTCTTTTCTGATTTGTCCGTAAACACGTGAGATATCACTGCTCCAACTCCATGACTAGATGCATCAGATGCAACAACAATTTCCAAGCTGGGATCGAAGTGTGTCAAAAGAATCTTTGAGCTGAGCATTGATTTGACTCTGCCGAAAGATGCTTGACATTCTGCTGACCACTGCCAAGGTTTATCTTTTGATAGTAATTCATTCAGGGGACCTCTCACTCGATGCATTTCAGGCAAGAATGTGCTATAATGACTGATTAACCCCAAGAAGGATCTCAATGAAGAGACATCAGTTGGTGCAGGCATCTTCTGAATGGCTTCGATGTTGGCAGGGTCTGGTCGGCGACCGTTCTTATCTAAGATAAAACCAAGGTATTTGATGGAATGCATAAAGTAAACTTTTCCTCACGTAGTTGGAAACCATATTCCAACACTCGGTTAAGGACTTGATGTAGTCGATCAGAAAGTTCATTGTCAGTTGAACCCATAACTATGATATCATCTAGATAAGCTGCTGTACCAGGTATACCTGTTAGCATCGTATCCATTATTTGCTGAAAGATGGCAGGTGCAGTCTTGATGCCAAATGGTAGACGGGTGTATTGAAATAACCCTCGATGAGTGTTAATGGTCAAAAGCTCTCTACTGTCTTCATCTACTTCTACTTGCAGATAGGCATCGGAAAAGTCTATTTTCGCGAAACATGTCCCACCATTAAGTTTGGCAAACAGGTCTTCAGGAACTGGTAACGGATATTGATACACATCTAATGCAGCATTTAAACCGGTCGAGAAATCGGCACATATGCGTATAGTTCCATTCGCCTTCTTAATCACTACGATCGGTGCGGCCCATGCAGAGTAGTTGACTGGTTGGATTACACCAGCCTGTTGCAAGCGATTAAGTTCCTGATCGACTAACTCCAGAGCAGCATATGGTACAGGACGTCTAGGACGAAAAATAGGTTTGGCATCTGGTTTCAGTGGTAAATGAGCTTTCATCTTGGTAGTGGCCAAGGCTATTCTGAAAAACAGAGGCAAACTTTCTTTTCAGTTTTTCTAGTAACCTTTCACCTGTCTTCTTTGCAAGTACTGGGGTGTCTAATGATGAACACAATACGTTGCAGACACTGTTAATCGGTACATCCATTATTCCAAGTTTATCTAACATATCTAGACCAAGAAGATCAAGGTTTGGCCGTTCTGTTAGGTAACATATTCCTGTACAGTTAGTTCCATTGAAGGAAAATTCACACTGTAATTCACCAACCAGTTTTAGCACGCCACCTGATGCGTTTTTGGCCGTTTTCTTAGATGGCTTCATTGGCGGTTTACCCAGCAAGTTATACGTTTCTCTATATACTAAGGTGATATCTGATGCCGTGTCAATTTGAAGACGAGCTGATATGCCGTTTATCTGGGTGGTAACATACTTTCTCCGAATGTCATAGTTTGTTTGAAAGGCAGCTACCAGAGAAAGAGATTTAAACTCGGCTGATTTTACATGTCGAGAATGTTTATGCTTCTTTTTGGGATGAGACGTATGGTTCGGTGGACAATGACCTTCTTTATGTCCACGTTTGTTGCACACCTGACATACATGCTTTTTAAATGGACAGAATCGTACATAATGCCAATCAGCACATAACCAGCATGCAGTCGTTGGTTTATTACGAGTTGTTATCGGCTTCTTAACTTTTAACCTAGTAATCGCATTGACACTACTGCAGGTTAAATTAGGATTTACCTGTTCAATCAACTTGTTGTCGTGTCTGATGCTTTGTAGCCGCTTACAATCATCTGTCAACGTTCTGAGTGTGACGTTTGGGTCTTGATCCAGTCGAGCCAAAAGTCTAGTCCTGATCTCAGCACCTTGTGGTGACTGAAGAGCTTTGATGAATATTAGGCATTTAAATTGGTCTTCTGTCAACGAGCGTAACTTGAGCCGTTCACATTCTCTGTTGACGATGTCTGCTAAAACACCATATTCATCGGCTTCGCGTTTCACCAAATTTAGACACTGATGTCGAATACCAAACAATGAGAAGGATTCACCGAATATCTCTGACAATTGAATTATCGTCTCCTCGAAACTGAGCTCTCGAGGCAACTTAGGCAATATATGGTCAGCATAGCGTGCATGTTCATTAATTCCTAACTTACGTACCAACAGTCGAGTCTTCCACGCGTCGTCTTGGTTACAGAATTCTATTCTAAATGTATCTTCCCAACGTTTGAACCACGTGAGAAAAGTATTTTCGATTTCGAGATCATAGATGAATTCTGGTATGTTGCTAGCAACTGCATCACAAGACGTACTTGAAATGGCATGTGAACTCGAGCAGTGGAAGCTAAGCTGTTGAGTCAGAGTCTCTAACTACCGCATTTGTGCATCTAATTGTTGTTGCTGTTGTTGTAGTATTCGGTTAAGCTGGTCGTCTGATATGGACATATTGAATTTATTTTCCTTTTTCCTCGTCGCCACTGTTATGTTTTCGCTCTTACGGTAATAACCCAGCTATTCCTATTGCTTAGTATTCACGGACACAGATTCACTCGACAAGGCCCCAAATCAGAACACGATTGAGCAGGAAGGACATTATATTCCAAATAACAAGGTTTAGGTGGAAGCAAGAAGCAAAATAGGAAAACCGTTAGTATATTTATAGCTTTTTACATAAGAAGAATCTAGAAGCTTCTCCATGTATAGACTAGCGCTGATTGGATAAGAATCAGCCAATCAGCGTGCGCCAAAGCAATCGTGCATTGAGCATGCTTAAATCCAATCTATGTCCCCCTAACAGCGGGTGAGCCAATTCGACTTAACTGAGCGTTAATCAGTATTTATAGCCACACAAAAATAAGCTACAGATATGTGATGAGTAGGATAAGATCAGTAGCAAACCGGTCGAAACTTTCCCCGAAAAACAAGACCCGTTGTCCAAGACCTCGGTAGATGTTCTTGATTGGCATCTCATAAACTTCATAGATTATTCCATTCGCAACCGACTTCTTACTGCCAGCGACTCGGATGAGGCCAAAGGGCTTCCAGCAGTCACCAGATGCAGCTGCTGCTTGCAACTTGTCAGCACACTCCGAACACTATTTCCCTAGTACGGCACGAATTCTGAGATATAGTTCAAACCATGTATTTCCCATGATAAATACATTTATAAATATGTAATCGGTTTCCACTACAGTTAAGGATTTGCTGGTCAATAAAAATATAAGCTAAGCATTTCCACTTCTGCTAAGATTTAAATTGTTAGTGAATAATGGCGAGAAACCGATAACAGTAACAATCTGAATTGCTAACTACAGTATTGACAATTGTCCAGTCCAAATGTATTACAACAATACATAGTCCTCTTCATGAAAGTATACCTGAATGCCCCCTAAGAAAACCATCTGCTTCGGTTTGGGCACCTGAGCAGTATCACAGCCTTCACACATATCAAATGAGATCTGTATTTATTGCCTCCTTGTACCAATATATGTGTTAAAATAAATAAATAATAAATAAACACAAGGATACGAATCTTTTAAGTTTAATAAAAAAACTCATGAGTGATTAAATTTACCCCGATATTTTAGAAAATCATTCACAATGACGACTGAAGGTTAGAAAAAGTACATCCACGTTTAGTGAAATATACTTTCAAGGTCAGAGTGACATTTTAATTCTCAAACGCTCCAGTTAGCAAATAGTTCACTAATAGTGAAAAGTAATAATCAAAAAACAGAAACGACCAACCGTAAAATAAATAATATTGAGTTTATTATCTCAAAAAGCAAGCATCTGATAAGTCTTGCGATTTGAACGCTATACTCGGCTCCTAGGCTATTCTTGAAACCCCCAAGCTAGAACTATACAGCGACCTGAACACGAGAGAGAAGGCGCAAAGTATGCGAAAAGTACTTTACTCCAAGGTTCATTTTAAAACAGAAAATAGAGGGTTTTTATAATATTCTAAATGTCCTTGGGTTGCTCGAAGATTCTGGAATGCTACTAAACATAGTAGCGGTATAACAATCAGCCAATCAGAACCTCTACATGTGACGTTTCACATACTTGATGTTTTCTGGCTAAACTCCAATTGAACGCTGATTGGATGAAATGCTTCTTAGTGTTTCCTGATCCTTGCGTGTCTTTTGCGAGAATTTTTCTGGATCATCCTAACAGCATCTAACCTTCTACTTTAAAAAACTGGTCGATTAGAATTATACAGGAAATGGAAAACAATAAATCCTCTAACTTGCTTTTTAACCCGCATGCATATATTGAGAAAACCTTCTTCTTCTATCATTATGTCAGCTTCATCTAATACAAACATAACAACTTTGGATGGATCAATACGATGTTCGCCTGTACCACGAAACCAATTCGCGATTGTACCCGGGGTACCAATAACAATCTGGTCAGTTACATACCCATTCGAATCGACTTTGACTAAAACATGAATTATCAAAATTAAAAACCATGGAGTAATAAACAAACTCACTGAAATAAAGTTATTACGTCAAATACTCTACTTAAATAACCATCTGAAAAACTGAGTACTTCTGCTTAGAACTCTCTTTAGAAAATTAATATTTTCCTAACTATCTGTTTAATATGGTTTAAGCTTATTATAAGGATCAAAATAGTGTACCTGGCTTCGAGCTACATTTTTTCGAATGTGAGGACTGACAATGTTGTTCAAATAGTCAACAGGAGGGTCGACATACGACTGGTTGAAAGCTAAATACTTCACCAGTAAGCTTGCTTGTATATCTGGGATATCTACTTTTTCTCAGCAATCGAATATTTCAACAGGTTACCTTTTTTCTCTTTAAATTCACTAACTGTCAACAAACCCTATGGCTTATTCACGCACATGCACAAAGTAGTACGAACCATCGCAATGAACAGGTTGTACGAGATGACCTGATCAAAAACTTATAATTTAAAACCTATTACTGATGTACTGCTGTATGGAATATTTTCCTAAAATATTTCAATTAATTTTATATACTTTTATTTACCTATATTACGTATATGTGTATGTATATTTATTTCTTGTGACGGATAAGTGTAAGAGAAACTTGTTGAAATATTGTGCTGAAAGTTCTATATCGTACTAAGCAGATACAACTGAGTGAAACCATTATCATTACTATTATTATTATTATTATTATTATTATTAGTAATAGTATTATATAACCATACAGACTGAACTTAAATCAACAGATGGGTAACGAAAAACGAGTTGTCTATGACTTAATACGCGTCATAAGAAGCTAGAAAGGTGCTTTACTCAAATCAATAATTATTAATAAGCAGTTAGTGTTGGAAAGCCTAACTAATAAGCGAAACTTCTATGCTGTACCAATTTAAAATTGATTACTACGAAAAACTTCCTAAATCCTCCATTGACATCCGGAAGTAAAAAACTGTTTTTGAAGATTTCACGAAGCAAATACAAGTTAATGTTTTGATAATATGAACAAAAACAAAATAATTCATAAAATCTATTATACCACGTGGTGAACGGACTGCTGTAGCAAAAGATACCTCCGTCATGAACTGTGCCATTTGTCGACCAACTGATTCTATCTGCAATGCCAACTCACGTGTAGGTGCCATACACAAGCATTGACAGTAATGTACATCTGTGCTAATACGTGACAACATAGCAAGAAGAAATGTTGCTGTTTTTCCAGTACCAGACTGAGACTGTGCAATCATATTTTGTGGGCTGGAAGAGTAAGTAAAAAGGAAATAAATTATGTTACTACACAGTAGTGAGGCAGAGACTTAATGGCTGAAGCATTTAACTTTTAACTAGTAGGTCCCTGGTCCGAACCTCATTACATGTTCTTCAGTCTGGACAACCGGGTAATATCACCACCCGTCGTACAAAAAGCGTGGCCTAAAGATCAGCGTATAAACCTGTTCTCGATAAGCGGAATATTATTACATTAGAAGCATAAAACAGGTTATGTGCAATCGATAAAACCAACCAGTTTCGTGATACTCAACAGTTATAAAACATAGTTGAGGGTAGTGTTTAGATTACAGATATTTGATCACAGGTATGTTCCAAACATTTCTCACGTGTAACAGCAACGGAAAAGTTAAACACGAAATTTTAGACAAGAAATTCGTTAAGGCTGTGAGTCATGACCAATTAATGTAGATGGGCCATGCCAAATCAGTGTCCAATATGGCTGAAATAAGACTAAGTTTGAAAAAAAAACAATAACGGCTAGAACAAGATGTAACACCAATACACGAAACCGATGGGTGTTGGTCTGATTAGTATGATGAGATGTAGATAGAATGCGATCCATAGGATAAAATTCTATAAACTGCATACCTCAGAAACCATCACAATGCTGCAGGTTAATTCATTCACTATATGCTTCTAACTTTTGATCATTTTGTTATTCACCACTCATTTCACAAGTATAAAAATTTCACTGATGTTCGCATTTTCCTTTAAGTATTGTTAAAAATCCTACCAAGCCTCAACTACGCATAAACCAAATTACTACGTGTTATTATTGCTGCCAACATTTTTAGGATAACTGGATGTAATTTTTTGCGAAAAACAGAATGCATCTGCAAAGAATCAGATGAGTGGGTGAATTGCGTAATGCAATTGTATCGTCTCTTTAAAAAACTGGAGTAACTTAAATTAAACTCCACTTATATGTGCTTAGATTTTCCATAACAAGTTGCTTAACAGACAAAGCAGTAATAATGTGTACAGGCTCGGGTTCTATACGTCTTAGTTATAGCAAGAGGAAGTCAACAAAAGAAAAGATGTGGTGGAAAGCGAAACTGAAATAGAAAGTTGAGAAATCAAAAAAAACACAATTGGAAACAAAATACTTGGAACTATATACTACAGACCCGTATTAATATTTTATTTATTTATTTAAACACAAATATTGGTACAAAGGGGCACCAAATACATATGTGCCACACAATAAAAATGAGGCTGTGAAGAAGTAGGGAATGTAAAATGCATATAAATAAAAGAACAACAACGAACAGAAATTAGTGTATGAGTGAAATAACAATGAAAGAGGTAGTTCAGTTAGCAAAATACAACCAGAAAGAATTCCTTCAGTTAAAGAAGTTACGTTCATTTCTTATGAAGAAAGTAAAAGAAAGTTACAGCAAGATCGCCACTGGCTTCTTTCCTGAGCCATATCTGATAGTGTTCCTAGCCACTGTGTCGCACCATCTTTGGGACCCCAACCAGGGAGTCCTGCACAGCTTGCTTTCATACCACCACACTATGTCACACAGTGACCATCTTTCCGACCGATCCTAGCTCCGGCAAATAATGCACAACGTGGAAATCTCTGGGACGACATTAGTAGGATATGTCCAGGCCACAGAAGTTGATGTTCCAAGATATTGACACCAATAGAATTATCATCTCTCTGCTCGAACACACGATGCCGAACCTCTGAATTACTAACATGGTGTTACCGCTGGATGTCAGCAATCCTTCGAACAATGGTGATCAAACAGAGAGTCATCTAACATCCTCAACTCGCAGAAGCCAGATTTCACAAGCATAGAGAAAAACGGTTCTCACCGTTAACCTCACCGGTTACATCACAAGGTTAACGGAAGCCGATTACGTTCTTCTTGAAGGTTTCATTCACCAAGTCTGCACCACTAAACATGATCCAAACAAATGCCTCATGGCCCTGTGAACAAGTAACATGTCTCAATCTGACCACTAATATATTATACACCATGCAACGTGATAGACAAGGTTATGAATAATGTATCCACAAAATGTGCTAAAATCACTACATAGATGGCTTATGACTGATTTATCGCACATAATGATAGCGTTACTAACTTATCTATAGAAGAGGATTATCGATTAATGTATGCTCATGACTTTATAAACTATCTTTTACATCCACAGGGTAATATGGTTGATTCTTAATATCCAGTACTGAAGCTCGTACAATTTAGGTCTGAGAAACAATACCAGTGATATACATGAAAGACGTTGAATTTATCCATTTCGTACTTTTGTCCCTTACAGCATACAGACCATACACAGTGGAAAAATTCTTTCATTTGACAACGCCCCCAAATGCCCTGGTACGGCCGAGAGTGGGGAGTCCGCTCACCCTCTCGAAGTGCTCTCGCATGGCAACGCGTATATAGCCCCTGCCAGGGATTTCCTACTCACTACCTTCTCGTGGCATTACTGTTGTTTACGAAGTTGAGAGGACGAAATGCGAATATCCGGCGCTTTAACCGGGTTGGTCGATATGGAGAGTCCACTTAGGGGAGTTGGAGACCCTGATCCCAAACCGATGGCGCACATGGGCTCCAGTATCCTGAGGGAACAAATGGCGTATGAACCAATTCTCGGTCACCAGCTACCATGGGACTGCATCTCCTTACGATGCTTCGCTGCCTTGTGGATCAGACCTTCAGGTCGAAGGCTCTAGGTGTGGCCCCCTGAGGGGAACCACCGGCTTCCGTTTGGGCAATCGAGCAGTATCACAACCTTCATGCAAATCAAGTGAGATTTGTGTGGTGCATATGTATATGGTGCGTCCTCGCACCAATATGTGTCCAAATAAAATATAAATAATAAATGTAGGTAAAGTACGAAGAAACACTAACATAGTTGACGTCCTTTACTATTAGCTTTCAACATGTTTAAAATGAGCGGCCAAGGTGAATATATCACAGGCTATTTTATAGATGACAGGGAAAGCTTTAGAATTTTTATGAGGTATACTAAGTACCACTAGTGTCTGGACAATCTTTCGTACAACCAACATCTAAAAACGCAAAAACAGACAGGCGTGAACCCTATTAGTTTAACAAAGCTAGTGAACAAATTATATCTAGACTAAAAGAGCTGGAATAGCTGCATTCATTCAGCGTGAGTACAAACTTGCATGTAAAAGATGTTATTTAGAATATGATTATGAACAAGCATAAGATCTACTTTCATACTTACAACGTACCTTATATGATAATCGGGCATTTTCTATGACATTTGTACACTACTTATGAGCACAGGTGTCAACTGTACTATTGAGGCTAGAGAGCAAAAGCAGTGACGAAAAGCGCCGATACAATATTAACCAAAGGCTGATGCACGGCAAAACTGTATAAGTTTTGATTAAAACGTATCCCCCCATATAAAGCTTGCAAAGCACGTTGAATCAATCACACCCAAACAAAATATCAGTACTTACTTGTCAGATATTAGGCTGCTCAAAGCTCGCTCCTGTATAGTGGATGGTTTATAAAACCCCATCGCTGCGATACCTTTCAGAAGAGGTTCTTTTCTGCTGTTATAGTTAACGTACAACATAAAAACTTACAAGTTCAATTCTTGGAACGTGCGAACGGAATGAAGAGGATGATTGGGGTCAGACCTTAGGATTTCAAAGTCCAAGTCATGCGTCTCAAAAAGCTTGGAGTTCAGCAACTTGTTGAGGTATGATATCTCTGCCCTAGTGAAAGCTTAAAAATAGAAAAACCACTAAAGCGCTTACGTTTTTCATCAGACTCTTGATTGACTTCAGCACCCCTGCTTTTGCTAATTCGCGATACATTTTCCAAAAGCGCTAACCAGTTTTCACTCTCAGTAAATGACATACTGGTGTAAAGTGTAGAATAACTTGCTGAACGAAAGTAACCGAGCGAAACGTAAATCCGTCGAAAACGAGACACAGACCTTGAGGGGCAATTGTCATTCAATATACAATACCTTTCAACATGGCCAGTATGAAACATTTGATGTTTTACACGTTCGTGGAAGATGTCCATATTGTGGCTGTGTCATAACTTCAAACCATGTTGAACAGTAATACTCATATATCGGTCTCACACGTAGCATAATCCATTGATTATCTCACAAAATTACACTACAGCTAACGTAGACCATTCTAGTTTCTGGACAGGTCAAACAAAAATAATTTACAGACACATATGCATTTAGACACATATACACTCGAATCACAAACACGTAAACAAACTTACGAACTTCTTACAGGCTATTATATAACATTTTCTGACCTTTTTGTAGTGACCTACTTTTGTCATCAGAACGCGATTGGTTCAATGAAAACAGTTATTATTATAACCAATTGTACCAGTGATAGTTTTACTGTGCTCGTTTGTTTAGCTTTGCTAATGACAGCTATTACTCTGCCGGTGACTTTGAACTTGTACGAATTCGGTTACTCCTAGTAACCACGCTTGTACTCCTTTGGCACGATCCCGGTATTCTTTCGACACCACGAGATCGCCAGCAAATACATCTCCAACACAGCCACCAACTGCCTTCTGATATTGACCTACAGGGATCTAATTGGTTAACTGGCACGTAGTCTTCTTGTAGTGGTGTTCATAGTCAATCGCGACTCGACTCCACGCTTCATTTGTAACGTTGCTGATTACATTTTACGCATCCATCTCTTCTGATCTATGTTAATGTTGATCCATTTTCATGTATGAACCGCAGTTACTTATTCCCTACTTTGATCATTTTCATGTGTTTGATCCATGTTTGTCAGTACACTCACTTATCGCACCAATTATCCCTCTACTTTCGTGTCCGTATTTCATGCGCTGTCTTCACTCAGATAAAATGACAATTTACACTCCGACGTTTTGGCAAAGCCATAACTACCACTTTAATTCACATCCAAAATACTTACATACTGCAGTATTCTGAAACCCTACACATTTCTACTTAAGCGTAACAATTTTCTATCTCCCTTTCTATCGCTAGTTTTATTGGTTTAATTTATGATTTTTTCTTAGATATTAGTGTTTTGATTAGCAACAATATGCTTATTTAAACAAAATTTATGCTATATGTATTGTCTTATGTTTGCTACATAAAGTTTTTGTTATTGTATCGAGGCAGAATGGCTTTGAGTTCTTCGTAACGTGGACTTTCAAGTTCTGACTGTTAAAAAGAGTTAACTCAAAATTTTGAACGTTATGTCGACCCTTCACTATTACATGGTGTTGGTGATTTAATTACCGTTAACTCAATACATAAGCTGTCCCGCTACCATTTAAAATACTGTCCTTTTCTTCTAGTTGTCGAGTGTTATCACAATAGCGAGGAAACTCTAAAAATCTTTATTCAGTTTACTGGTGAGTCACGAATGGAGCCTGACTTACGTGGCTTACCAGGTATCCTATGTTTTTCGACTAAATAAAAAGAGTGGAAGCAGGTTCATGTTTTTCAGATATGAAGAGGGATGACGGAGAACACAACACAAAATTCCATAGGCCACTTGAGTTTGTAGTTCTACCCAATTTGTTATAGATTAGTCACTTCATTGCTGAAGAGTTTGTACTTTAAATAATGAAGATCTAGAGCTAGCGCGAAGGTCGTTAGCGGTGCAGCGACCACTGAACTAAACGGTTTATTTGAACTATACATCAGATGGGAAAGACAAGTTTACTAGTCAATACAGTGTTCCTCAAAATTTCTTGCAAAGGAATATTCCTACTATATCGGATAATGTGAGTCAAATTAGAGGTGATGCAACTTCGACATAAGATCATACAGATTATGCAGTTGTGTTATGGCGCGATTATTTTAATGTATAGTTAACAGACCGTGTAAACAGACTTCGCACTTGTTTTAGTCTGTTAATGAGACATAAATCTTGAGTTACCTGAGAAACAAGTAACTGCCTGTAACCGCTGGCCTTACAAGTAGGTCGACCACATAATATGTGTAATAAGCTAGCTATGTGTAGCTCTTCAAAACATCACAATACAGCTCAGTAGAATAATAATGTATGGTATTCCAATAAGAACACCAATTATCAATAATGATTGGTAACCAGATTAAACGAGTCTAAAAAACTAGTCAATATGCAGTATGTAAATGTACCTACGAAAGGTAGTAAATTAACATCCTATCGATAATCTGCCATTAGAATGAAAGCACTTTCATAATTTACTTATTTTGCATAGGTATCGTACTGCATATTATCTTTCGTTTATTGGTAAAATGTTTGTGTCTGGGTTCAACCTGTGCATCATTTGCAACCCTAGTTTAAGTAACAAACCTTACGACCAGACTCTTAAAGTATTTCGGTGACTTCATGATACCACGAGGATATAGAATCAAAGATCTAAAACTTAGTGGATTCTGCTTCTCAGGAGTTTATGTTGTTCTTAATGACGGACTAATCCTCTGACTATTTAGCGTGATTTGCTTTTCTTTGATATAATAATAATATTTTTCTGCAAGGGCAGGTACATATCATTTTTACAGGCATGATCTACAAATGAAAACATTTTTTGCATTAAGAACGGTATAATGTAGGATAATTGTTTGCCAAAGTAGACAGAAAAGTATAGAAATATATTAATTATGAATACGGTGACGAGTGGTGAAACAAAACTAATGGCAAGTCAACATAGTGTACAGGAGAGTAAAAAGCTGATGAAGAATGGACAAGAAAAAACTCACATTGACATGGTGCTGATGTTGTTTTGTGTTATGCTAACCGGTTGACGGGTTATGGACTCCAAAGATGCAAGACCGCCGGTAGCAGGCAGCCGATTGTGCAGTTCTCTAGACAACGTTTTTGGGTAGACTTAACTTAGAGTCTAATTCGCTCTATACATGTATATTTGAGTGGGAAACAGATGTGTTCGTTCGTGCTGGATCAATGTAGGTGAGGGTTTGATCAAGAAGTCCATCTGCCATGCGGATTTCAAAGGGAAGACTGTTCCTTAATAATGCACACTTGATAAAAAAGACGTTTTCCCGAGTTTTTCATTTGTATTTCTCAACTTTGACTGTAGATGCTTTGTCTAGAAGGTCGTATTCATGTGAGTCTTGGTTAAGAAGCATATTATATGTGAAAAGTTTTAAGGAGTCTGAAGCAAATAACAAAATCCAATCTCAGCCTTTCTTCCATACGTGCTCTCGTTCTATGATATGACAAGAACGAACAGTAGTCAACCTTAGGCCTTACACACACCTTGTAAGAGATGATTTTAGATTGGTTTTGAAAGAAGTTGCGAACAATGAAGCCAAGCAATTTCTTCATTTTAGATGCTTTGGTTGAGATATGTTCAGAGAAGTTAAGGCTGTGAGTAATGTACCCCCGGGTCAGTCACTGATGTGAGTTTGAACACTGTGTTCTTGTTATGTGTTAGTTTAATTCTAAGAGACATGTCACCAACCCATAGGTAGCCGCATTTCTCTGTGTTGAGCTCCAACCTCCAGACCTTGTATCAGTTGTCTACCTTGTTGAGTTCATGTTGGATTTTTTGCATAGTACTACGCACACCGTACGTGGCCATTATGTCATCAGCGTAAAGATAGATCTTAATTTTTTTAAAGCACCTAAATATGTGGTTGATGTAGATTATAAAATCAAAGGAGCAAAGACACTACCCCGCACAACACCACTGAACATTGGTTGAGGTTTATATGTTGTAATGTTAATTTTGCTTATTTGCCATCTATCTGTGAGAAAAGACCTGAATCATTGCAGTGGGGACTTGTAAATTCAACCGACTGAAGAGTAAGACATTTTTTTATATTTTCAGTGGTGAGATATTAATTTTACCACTAAATTTTACGTTAGGACATTAGTTTTACTTCATAAAATGTCATTTTATTATGAATGAAGATCAGAAAATTAAGCTCGGCTTTTCACTAATAGGAGTAAAAATAGTTCTTAATACAAAATTCAATCTTCTAAAATTCGATTTGAGTGACGATGTTTTGCTGTTTGTCCAAATGCAACAATGATTTGTCAGACGCTGTATTAAATCAGAGTGATTTCAATGACGAGGTTTGTGCTTTGTGCCAATGGTTAATACGTAACACTAGGATCATGTCGCTGACCCTAAGAAGCTTATTCAATCCTAGAACTCTTAGCATTTTTATTCTTTTTTTCATTGTGTGTTCTAACTTTTCCTTGTCAGCGAAGATCTGTGCTCACGGTTAACAATCCGGCTTTACAAAGAGATCGTCATAGACGCAAGATCATATATTTGGATTTGCGGAGGACTCCAACTTCTGGCAGATTCACACATTCATTTTCCTCAAAAAATTAAATTTCTGTTCTGACACATGTCTATACCGTGTCTATTTCTCTTCAGATTGTCAACCTGATCTGGAAACCAAAAATTTATGGAAGCCAGAAAATTGTCACTTATAATTGTACATTTCCTTTTCGCACCTGATTATTTAATGCAAACAGTGTAGTAATTTTTTAGATTTGACTAACTTCAGTTTTTTTTCTTCGAAGTGGATTCTTTGCTATTTTTGACTTAAGTGCAACTCAAGATGCAAGTGTGTAAACACCCGATAAACCAACAGAGCTTAAGAAATTTGTATTTGACTAACATGATGTTGGGTAGCCCTCCAACAACACTTATCCTTGTCCTGTTTTCTTACACCTATTCTGCCGTACGCTCTGAGTCTCATACAGAGGACACGTCCAACAAGCCATGGGCGATAATTTGCAGGCAAAATAAATACTAGTAAAGTATATGACATCCATGAGGTATCTCCAAATAGTGACAGGGATTTGTTCGTCATCGATCGAAGACTATGCATTGATCCAATCAGTAATTCTCCTTCAAACTGAGGGGATAGAACTGATATGTACGTGTTGGGTACGTTGATTGAACGAATATTCCTATGGAAGTTCACCCCAGAGGGAAGCTAATGTTACAACATACATTGGTTAAGAACTCACCTCAAAATCTACGTAAATGTCAGGACGTCATAGCTAAAGTATTCACTTTCTTCCTTATTTGTGTAGACACTG